ACAGCAAATCTGTGAGCGAGCCAGGATCCCACATACCCACGTACTCGTGATGGCTTATTAGGGCTTTCATACCGCATCAGGCAGCGTCACACACAGTGCCGTGCCCGAGCAGGCTGTGCGCAAGCTGTATGCCAGCTGCCATCTCAAAGCCCTTTTGTGGACCTGGAACCACTCGGAGTGAGCAGTATAGCAATACATAAATAACGCCAAGGAGTTTATTGCATGTAAAGTCATTCTCTTCCATAGATCCCATATGGGAATATTTATTCAGCAGTGTATTTATGATGATGGTATCAACAGATATTAAAACTATATCCAGGAGGATTAAGAGTACCTGGTTATGGGATAAAGACTCTGCTCCTGGAGTTTTGTGGTGATACATCAATGTCCCTGATCACTTGAACAAAAAATGTCTTGTTTCATGGCTGGGTTTCATAGTTAGGACATATTTGTCATGAACTGTATCCTAAAAAAAGTAGGGGTGAAGGGAAAGTAACATTTATTTTTAATTCCGTATATTTTCAGCTTGTATAATTATTTTGCATGGCCTTATTAACAAATATTGAACACTTGGGATTAGGATTACTGTGTTTGACGCTCTAGATGTTGTGCTCATAGATCCACCTTTTCTTTCAAGCTACTCCAAAACTAAAATATTTTTTTCCTGCTTGGCAAGCAAATTAAAAAATCAGAAGCAAGAAGAGACTTCCTTCCTTTCCCCCTCAGTATTCTTCTACCATATTGACACTGTGTTTGACAAACAACATTAAATAACCTTCAGGACTGTATCAGCTACCAGGTCTTGGTAATGAGGAGAAAATCAGGCAAGCCAGACCAATACATGACTGGGTGGGATGGCAGTCTTATCAAAAACCATCCACATCTCTGTTTTCTCTCTCGGCTGCTGGGTGCTGCATTCAGTCCATTGATTAATGTATCACTGCTTAACACAGGCTGCTAGGCTGTGACACTTGCAGCAAGGCAGCTTGCTGTCCTTGTGCAGCCTGGAGGCTTGACTTGCTGCTTGTAGAAGCTGGGGCTGCTCCGACGAGAGGAGGTGGCTGGGAAGTGGACGGAGCAGGCTGGCAAGCATTGCTTCGCCACCTCCTTCATGCTGGCTTCAGCTAGCTACAAGCGTGCAAATGTTTGAGGTAACCTTGGATTTCTGGCACTGTTGACTCTGCTTATCAGCAACCTGTTAGGTAATAAGGATGTGCAGCAATAGCTGCATTTACCTAGAGGTTAGAAGAACTGGTGCTGTTCTCCACCCAGAACAGTAATGAAATGGTTTTGTGATAGAGTGAAACCAAACTCTGGTACAACTTCAGTCTCCTCTGACCTGGGGCAAATGGTTCCTGTCCCTGCCAAGGCTGTCCTGCTGCAGCATTTCCCAGCCCCTGCTTGCTAATCCTCCTTCCTCCTTCCACCATGGCGACTGACCAGGATCAGCAGCTCCCCAAGTAGATATTTTGTTTTTACATTAACTTCCATGAGCCTCACGGAGACACCTCATGCTGTCACGCCTCAGTGGTAATAATTCAATGCACAATAAAGAAAAAGGTAAATCTACAAATGGGCTGCCAGCCATTTCCTTTTGTCAGTGTACAAAATTCTGTGAAGCTAGTAATATCTCTAATCAGTAAGTAGCAAGATGCAACAAGTCTACAATAATGTACAGAGTATTATAATGTCTCAAGTGACATGAGTAGCATGAAGTGAGATGCCTGTGGCCTTTCTGACACAGGAAAAATACTAGTAAATGTAGCTGAATGCAGTTTTTCACCAGACTCCAAGGAATAGTTGGTATATGGATGGTGGAAATAGGTATTTTCTATAATGATCCCATGTTTGAAATGTCCTGACCTTAGAAATATAGTATAAAATTAGTTCCAGGAGAAGAAACCTAGCAAAGATAATAGACACTTGTTTTCTTTATCAGAGTCCCTCAAGTATGAAAACGTGACAAATAGGTAATACTGCTACATTGAGCTGAATTAACATGTGTTTAAAATGAATGAAAAATATGTCCCTTTCCCAGTTAGAAAAAAATCACACAGTACAGGTACTTAAAAAATGAAATACATCTCTGGCTTTGAAATTGTTGTTGTCTTTCCACAGCAGCTTCTTGAAAATGTCATGTGAGATTAGATCTGTACGCCGTTGTCTTGGTAAGCGTACGAACCCCCTGCGAAGGGTGGTCTTCATTCCAAGAGCTTACAGTCTCAGGCAAGGTTTTCAAAGAAAACTGCTCATTCGTGATACCTTTTAAAAAAGATCTTACTTTCAGAAAGCGCTGGGTACATACTGTTAGAAAACCAGGGTCCTTAGAGGAGTCTCCAGCTGGGCACCAAACATTATATAGGTAATGAGGAAGAATAAGTGCTTCTAAAGCCCTGTCCTCAAAAGACAAAGCAAGAAGAAGTAGGCTAGATGACCACTAAATCCTCCGTTTGCTTGCTTTAAATGCAGAGCTCAACAGAATTACTACTATTCCCTTGGTCAGTGCCACCAGTTGTATCCGGACTGGTTCTGCTAGGTGTCCTGCATGGCTTGAAGTAGTTGTGCTCCCTCTGTAGTGTGGACGGAGCTCACGCTGGGATCAGTCCCCATTTCTTCTCATTCACAGGTTTCTGTCTGAAGGGCCAGTTGGCTCATTTCAAACTTAAGCACAAGTACAAGCCAATGGCTGAGACAATGTGGATGATTGGGGAATTTCAGCACGAGTACAATCCTGAGGCCTGACCTGATATAATGAGCCGGTTTACCCATTTTATTTTAGGCCTGCAATTCTGTGACTAGGCAAGGTATTTTCCATTGCTTGGGAGAGCTTTTCAATTTTTCCCTTCTTTGCAGCAGATGAGCTATTTAACCTCAAAAAAAGTCCTGTTTCTCCTTTGTGAGACAGGCCCATCTCTGTTGATGCTACACAGAGGGGAGATATCCTCCCATTCACCTGGAATCAAACAATTCCAATGTGAGGTACCAGTTTGCCTCTCTCCAAGTTTAAAACCTCCCCCCTCTATTTCCCCTTTATCTATCTTCAAATCTGCTTAATGTCACCACTGCTTTCTTTTCTGTCCTGGGGGATGTGGTCAGTTATCTGTCTAGACCAGCTGAAGGCTCAAAACCTTCCCATATCTTCTTCCGTGGAATAAAACAGTTGCTGAATCCCAAACGTGCATCTTTCTCAGGCCGCTACTGACGTGGGTATCTCACGTAGTAGATGACAGTAGGTGGTGGTGGGATCATCACACTAGAGAACCTTGAGAATAAAAGCAAGGCAGCTGTAAAAACAGAAGTCAAAAGTAGCACCGTAATCAGGTGAATGTGCCCACATAAGGAAGGAAATAGCTAAGAAGACTGTTTTTTATTGGTCCTCTATTCCATAGAACATATTTACACTGAAGGGTAAAGTGCTCATGGCAGGGTGTGGGGTTTTTTGAATCTTACTCAGCATTCTTCCAGCACCTATTTATTTAACATCCCATCCTTTCCCTGTTTCTTCAGACCTTCATGTCCATCCCTACAAGAGTTTGGGGTTGGGAGAGGCAAATATGGGCAAACTGGCAGCTTGGCAGAGCCAGTCAGTCTGCACCCCACAGAAAAGAGCCCATCGGGCATGATTTTGAAGGGGTGAGAAGCAGAAATGCACTGCCAGCCTGAGTTTCAGCTGACATGAATGCTGCCTTGGCAGCAGTATCCCATTAGCTTCACAATTGGAATCCGGCCCAAAAGACCCAACGATCCAGCTCTTCCCACACATACAGACACGTACATTTGTGCAAGAAGCAGGACATCAGCTGGCAAGGGTGCAAAGCCCACCTCAGCGCTGCCCTGGTCAGAGATCTGGTCGGTAAAACTGGTGATATGTGAGGGCTCTGTGGTAAACAAAGCTGTGTCCAAACACGTTGAAATAACACAGTGAACTTGCCTCTGCACAGCTCCTTGGCTCCAGAGGCTAGTGTAAGCCTGTGATGGGTTTACATGCATTTTCGTGGCTACATACTGAATAAATGACTCAGTCCGCTTCAGTGTGAGCAGTCCTGCACAGGCACTCATCTCCTGTTCAGAAAGGCAGAACAGGGAGCACAAATCCCCATCAGAAAATGTATAATCATAATTTAGGTTGGGAGAGACGTCTGGAGATTGTCCCACTCAACTATGCTCAAAGCAGGGCCAAGTTAGGTTGTTCAGGGCCTTTTCTGGTTGAGTTGCGGATATCTCTGTAGGTAGAGATCACATACCTGGTCAGGTAACTTGTTCCAAAATTTGACCACCCTCACTAGGGAGAGTTTTTTTCCTTGTATGTAACTGGAATCTCTCTTGTTGCATCTTGTGTCCATTATGTCTTGTCCTTCTGCAGTGCATCTCAAAGAAAGTTTGGGTGTAGGGGAGGAGAAGTTACAAGTAACCTGCACATATTCCTCCTTTATGGTGTGATGACCTTACAGCTTTGCAAGGGCTTTCAGGAAAGGAATAGCAGCCACCAAAATTGAGTGTGCTCTACTGCTTTTAGCAGGGAAAGAGAAACTCTCTGCAACCCCCTAATTGTCTTATGGGGTCTGAAGCAGGGAAGGAAGTGGGTGAGCTCTTCTCACATCTCCTACGCAGCAATGGCCAACTCTCATCATCCTGGCCAGCCCAACCAAACAGAAGAGCCTACTCTCTGGTACTCAGACTAGAAGAAGAGTAAGCAGTACTTTCACATGATGCAATAAAATTCAAGTAGGATTTGTTAAATCATACAAATGATTGTTGTTCTGTGCTTTATATTTATCTAAGGAATTAATTAAGCACTGAGTTTTTTGGTTGATGAGTAAAGCTGATTAAAAAAGCACCAGGGTCACAATATATATTCTAGGAGTAGTTTGTCTTTACAGCAGAATTACTTTACTCAGCTCAAACCTGACTTTTTTTATTTTAGTTGAAATACATGGTAATTCCTTTGCTGTGTTCTATACTCACTGTCTGGTTTTGGTTTTCTGTTTTGTTTTTTACAGCCCCAGCAGAGAGCTCTCCATAAACATTTCCAGCCTCTAAAGCTGCTGTCCTGCCACTTGATATTAAAGTGAACTTTCCTTCATGAAAAGAACATAATAAATGGCACTGCCAGAAGGTGACCATGGAGGATTGAAGACAAACTTGGAAGTAAAATCAGCCCACTCAAGATGATGCATTCTGGGAAGAGCTGGTTTGCTGTGGAGTAAAAATGTGGTGCATAATATCCAGTGCTAATTTGTTGAAAATGGTCATTGACAGACCTTTAGCTGGAAAATTTCTTCCAGTTTTCATCACTGTGCATAACTTTTGAGTTCCCTTTAGGGGACTGTCTATGCCCTTCACTAGAAGTCCTGTTTTAGCATGGCAACTACTGGATTCTTTTATTATGTATGCAGATGGCATGATGTTTTAGGAAAAACTTACAGCAATTCTCCAATCTCAGTGGATATGTTCACAATATTAAACCCCGATAGGAATGTAAACGTCTTGTATATGTTAGTTTTGCAGTCTAATGGTATTCTGTTAAACAATATCAGCACTTCATATGTGCTTTCTGCACAGAACTAGCACAGTCCATATATATATAATGGTCTTTTTTTAAAATACTGAGGATACGTTTCAGTATTTGTGCTGAGACTGCATCCAAACTGAAGTCCACTACTAGCATACCTTCACCGATTCGCAGTAGATTGTGTAGATAGATTTGCACGTGGCAGAGGTGTGACTTCTTTTATCGAGACTTAGGGAACAGCTGTCACAGAGGTAGCCAAGAACAGGGCAGGTTGAATGAGCTGTAGGACGCTGTGTCTGCTCTCCCTCTCATCCACCAAATATCAAAGGTTCTTGTTTGTAGTGTGCCAATGTGTTTTCTTACTCAGCGAGGGAGCAGCAAGGGAGAGAGCCTTTGTCAGAGATGTGTGTGACCCTGGGTTTGGTCTACAATAAAACCAGAATAAACTGGAAGAATTCAGGTTCTTTATGCTGGCCACCATTTATGTTTCGGGCAGGGCTGGGGAATTGTAGTCCAAACCAAACTCTCTGAACAAGGTAAAGTGTAAGACTATACTTCTAAGGAGCAAGACACTCCCTTTGGAGAGGGCAGACTTCTTCATTAACTTTTTCCACTTTCTATCCAAAACAGTATTTTGGTAGGAACTGGGAATAAGCAAATGGTTCCAATAAGCCTTTCAATATACTGTAGCAGGCTCAAGACTGTTGCATTCAATCTGAACGTTGTTTTTTGTTCAGTCTCTGAATGGCTGGCCTCATCACTGGTTGTATCACAGCTGGCTGTGGTACTGTTTCTTCCATGGGGACTCAGCAGAATTAGTGTCTGTCCCTCACATCAGGACCTTCTTGATACACTCTTTATAATGAACTGATGCCATCAACATGCTGAGGGGACTTACCTATCTGTTCCTTCTTTCTTTAAAATCAAAGGTAGCTTTTTTGTGCATTTAAAGACCATCACTCTCTCCAGCCTGATAGACAGGTACTATAGAGCCGCTGTTAGCATGTATGCCAAACTGTGGGTGAGATGCCATACTGGTGTGAAGATGCAGCGATGGAGAGAACGTGCAGCTACATCAAGTCAAAGGGACCTTTTCAGAGAAAGCTCCTGTGTTATAATTCTTAAAAACTATTGTACAGTTCATTGCTAGAGAATGGAAGGTCAATGACTGAGGGTGCCCATACAACAAATGGATCAATATCTTCAGGGCTTAATTTTTTTCAGATGGGTATGGGCTTAGGTTTCAGCTCTCCACCCATCTCAGATTCAGCATGTTGGATACTTCTGCAGTATTCAGTCCAAAAGCAAATTACTTTTACTGATGACCAAGATTTTCAGAAGTCGCTAGTGATTTCTAACGGTTTGGGTCTTTCCACGGGTTCTCAAATGGAGCTCCCAAGAATTACAAAGCAGTAAGCTTCTACATTCTCTTTCTGAAAATCTTGGTCCTTAACTTTAAATTAATTGGTGTAAAAATTCTCCTTAAGACATAAGAATCTTTGCCAACGGCAACATTTGCACTTTTTAGAGCTTTTCATAGGGTTACAGGTTGGAATCTGATACCAAGAGACCCGGCCGTGTGCATGGCACAGGTCCACTGTAAGCTTCAGCAAATTTTACAGCTCTTTCTGCTACAGGTTTTAAAAACACGCTCTGGCAACTGACATCAGTTTCATGTTGGTATAGCAATTAAAAAAAAAAAACCACTTTGATGTAAGTTGTTTAAAAAGAAGGAGAATGCTGTACTTCTACGGTAGGAGTTCTCTTATTTTACTACCCAGTGAAAAAATCTGGAATAATTTGAATGATAAAAGAAGAGTTTATCAGAGAGTGTTATCTTAAAAGGGTGTACGAGTTGAGTTAGGCAGAGAGCCACTAGAAGCATTTTTTGTATCAATGTTAGTTTTGAACATCTTCCAGTATATGGGCATGAATTTAGATGTGTGCACTTCTCCTGTTAAAACAGTTTGTTTTAAAAGCTTCCCAGGATTTTAGCTATGGTGACCTAGAAAAGCAGTGTTATAGGCCCTGAGAAATGTGAAAATCAAGTCCAGACCCTTGTGTAGCCAGACTCGATGAGAAGTCTGTTGTAGGTGCCTATCGGACAAATCTCCTTTGAAGCTGGTGTAGGTCTCCATCCTACAGCCAGCCTGTGCATGTGGATAACTGCAAGCATAGTTCCCCCAAGCCCCGTGACACTTCTCACGTGTGTAACTGTCTGCCAGAGCCATAAGGAAATAACTGTACTTTTTGGCTTGTACTTAACTATTCATTGTGTTTGGATTTTTTAATCACTGTTATTCTCCCAAAGTAGGCCATGCTTCCTCAGGGATATTTATGAAATTGTTCAACATCTCCTGAACAACTATCTGGATCCCAGCATATTCTTCTGAAAACTTTTTAATATAAATAAACATGTGGGAGAGATTTTTGTTATTATGAATGGGGGCAGGTACTGTGTTCTCGGAAAGGCTATTGAGTGCAGACAATCAACTCTATTGCATTTTTTATGCCGAACACCTTATTAATAGCAGACACATCCGCTTTTGCCTGGGTCACAGGAACAGTTCAGGGGAAAGAATGCTTTATCTCTAGTCAATAAATCATTTATGTCGAGAGCGCCAAAGACCAAGTCAACATGAAAGGGAACGAATAAGTTATTCTGGCAAAGGAAGTGAATTTAAATACGCTCAGAGCCATTAGTTCGGTGCAAAGGAGTGGGAGACTAACGCTATTTTCATAAAACAGCAATTATCAGCCCTGCGGAGATAGATAAATTCGCAAAGGCCAGTGCTGCCGTTACATTGATCACTAGTTATTATCTCTGAAACAAACCAGTATTGCCATCAGGACACTGTTCCCCGGGTGCAGACCTGCAGCCTTCCTCCCGTGCCCGGTGCCTCTCCCTGCCGCCGCGCTCGCCTGGTTTCTTTGTGTTGAGAAAGGTTGCAGCGTCAGACCCCGCTAAGAAACGCTGACAGAGACTCAGCCATCCCAAGTGCTTCAAACCGCGACAAGTCCTGCACTAGAAACCCGAAGGAATTGCTTCCCCAGAAAGCACACTGCGGCTGAAAAGCATCCTTTGCACTGTTTTGTTCCTTTTTTTCATCTGCGTGGCTTTCTGTGCCTGAACACCCACCATTTATTCTGTTAAGGGACATGCAGCCTTCCAGGAGCGGAGTTTGAAAAAGCCACGAGCTCCTTGGTTTTGCCCGCCCAGCTGCATGGCGATGCGCTACCGATGGGTTTATCCCTCCCTGTCTGTTCCTCAGGGCAAGAGTTGTCGCTCGACAGCAGCTGCAGTGTAGTTGAGGAAATCAAACCATTAAAAATGACAAAATTCTGGTTTTGTTTTGCCCTGAATTTTCGGAAGGCCTGAGGCCAGACCCCCGGCAGACTTACATTGGCGCTACTCCATCAAAGTCTCTGGAGATGTGTTGATTAGTGCCAGCCGTGGAGCCAGGCCTGGGGTGTTTTTCTTGTCATAGCTAAAACTAAACTAACCTCCCTCCACCCGCCACAAAGCCACAAGATCGCAGTTATTCAAAATTGTCTCAGGCAAGCAAAATAAAACCCCGTGTCTTTCACATCGGTCCCCTTTTAACAATTAATATCTCTGCTATCAGAGTCTCCTTGAACAGCCCCACTGCAGGACTGTGCGGCAATTGACCCTGGTATATATAGACTGTGGTCAATAAGATTTTAATTTAAACAGAAATGGTTCTCTGGTATAATTAAAATTGATGGGTGAGGGGGAAAGTACTACCAGCATTACCTGCAACCTCCTATAGTAAAATTCAGGAGAGTTATCTGGAGTACAGAAAACCCCACCAACATAACATATGGGTGATTAGGCAGGCTCATGAGGATAAATCAGCAAGTAAGAAAAGTAGATGTTTAATGAGGGAAGCCAAAAAATTTATGGGAAGTCAGTGGCCAATAGCTTAGGGCTGGTTAGACCAAAAGCTTTACATATATCCTAATAAATACCATCATAGCAAAGCTAAGTCTGATGTTAGACGGGCACAGCACAGTGATTACTCACAGTACATGCAAAAACCAACAAATATTCTTGTTTTGTATTTGAAAGCAGTAGAAGGAGGGAGTCAGATTGCACATTAAAATGTAATTCCTCCTACTCCATCAGTAATTACGGGTAATATTAAGCAGCAACTATCCAAACATATTTTTAAATTTGTAGAACTATTAACTGAATCCAAAAGTGAAGGAAAACTTGCCTAGGACCCTTCAGAACTGAAAAGCATAAAAGAAGCTTTGAATGACACCAAAAGCCCAATAATTCAAAAGAACGAGTGATTTGACCCAGAAAACTATAGGCTCATTAGCTTCCTATCAGTCTTAGGCAAGATCATGGAAGGGTTGATATGGCACAATCGTTAAAGCAATTAAAAATTGATAAAACCCTCCAAATGATTTTAATAGAAATGTATCTTGCCAAATAAACTTGCTATCATTTTTTGTGATATCAAAGGCTTGTTGATAAAAGAAACTCTGCTGGTATACTATACTTAGCTTCCTATAGATCATTCGATTCTGATAAAGAACAAAATAGCACAATGCAAAATCAATATTGCCCATATTAAGTGGATTAAAACTGATTACAGGCTAGATCACAAAAAATAGCTGTAAATATGAAATTATCATCAGTGAGACTATTTCTAATGAGCTCCTCCCAAGGTATGCTCTATTTTCAATATTCCTCCCAGGGAAAGGGAAAATTACTGTTGGCAACAGCGAGAGATGACAAAAGCAGGGGCGCGGTAAATAATGATAGAGAGCAGGTCAGTGGTAGAGAGTAACCTGGAGGACGACAAAGTCAGAAATCCAGGAGGGATTGCAGCAAGTCCGACTTGGAGGCATGGGAAGTACGTCTGGAATAATGTAGCGGCTGTGAAGGTGTGATAAATAATCCATTCAACATCAGAGATGCTCTTGCCAGCTGGGATGTAGGACCTGGCAATAGGGATGCTGTTCCAGTTTGTGTGGTTACTGCCTGTCTTTCAAAAAGGGTATTGACAACTTGGAAAGATTATTTTCAATAGCTCCCAGGGTCATTCAAGGGCAGGAAAACAGGTCTTATTATAGTGTCAGGCTAATGAAGCTCAAGCTATTAATTTATCAGAGGCAATTTGAAGAGGTGACTTGATCTCTGTCTGCAATCACAGTCTTCTACCTGGGCAGGGAAGTGCTGTCTGAAGGCAGGTAGCTCTTTTATTTAGAAGAAAAGGGAATGATGTGCTCTACTGGTTGGAAACTGATTTCAGGCTAGAAATTAAGTGCAAGTGCTCGACAGGGAGGATAATTACCTGTGGAGACAACTTACTTAGTCACCTGGCATGTTCTCCATCACATAAAGTCTTTAAATGTATGCAGAGTATTTTTCTAAGTCAATAAGCTCTACCTCAAACTGAAATCCAGGCTTGGTGCGGCA